ACCAGACTCATGCATCCTCTCCTCGTGGGATCACATGGCAACTCTCCACTCTTGACTACATTTCCCAGAATCCTCCTCAACTCCTAGTCCCACCTATCTTGCTTCCCTATTGACTAACAGCTCTTTATTTATCAACCAATAAGACAACATACACTGAAGGACTTCCCCCATCAGAGTCAACTGAGCCGGGCGTTGGTGGCACATGCCTTTAATCCCAGCACTCGGGAGGCAGAGGCAGGCAGATCTCTGTGAGTTCAAGGCCAGCCTGGTCTACAAGAGACGGGGTCAACTGTTGTTACAGAACAAGAGCACGGGGGAGATGGCAGGAACCAGAACAGAATTAGCGGTGCCATGAAGCATTTAAGGTTCAAGTAAGTTGGGAAGAACATTCCGGGTTGGGAAGGTGGCTGAGTGAGAAGAGAGGACATTGCACAGAGACACAGGGATGGGCAAACAGAGCAACAGACCCACATGCTTCTCTCATGAAGCATGCACAGAAACTGTGGAGACAATGTGACATCAACCGCAGAAGACCCCTCCTTGGGATGCAATAGAAAGGGGCAGAAGGGAATGCCCAGAAACGGGACAGCACCAAATCCACTCACACACTCCTGAAGGAGGGACATGATAGCCCGGCAAGGGGTACCACGGAGAAGCAGCTCTACAGGTCTGGCCATAGAGAGGAGACAGCCATGAACCACTGAGGAAGTTGCTATCATTTGCTGGGTTACAAAGGTCAGGGCAACCTCATAAGCAGTCCCTCAGGCCAGGGCAGAGACAGCTGAGGAACAGCACTGACGAGAATGGCACCTGTAGCAGGCAGGGTGATGCCCCACAGTTATGAGCGTGTGCTGATCCGAGGAGCTAAATATGTCATCGTGCGCGGCTGACAGGATTGGGCCGATTCAATTACCTGCGGCATCCTGAGATGGGAAGATTGTCGTGGCCTATTGGGGTGAGCCAGTATCACGAAAGGCTCCTTATCAGAGGGAGGCAGGGCACCAGAATAAACGCTACGCAGAAAGCAGAGATTAGACGTACAAGCGAACTGGTGTGTGTGGTCAGCGGGCTACCGAGGCAGGGAGACGCTCTCCCTCAGAGTTTCAGAAGGAAGGAAACCTTGCTGACCCATCTCAGACTGCCAAACTTCTAAACTGTCGGATAATGCGGCCGTGCAGCTTCAGACCACTGAGCGGGTGGTAATTTATCACAGCCTCCATGAAGACCCTAACACTGCTTCTTAGCTACATGGAATCTAGATAAGCCTCTACTCACAAACTATAAAACTCTGCAAGGAGGTCATAGGGATTTTTAACTTCTAATAACTGTTGAGTGTAGTTTTTTCCTTGCCAGCCGCTTTGGATCCCACCCCCACCCCCCACCCCCCCACCCCCGCCAGCCTCCTGGGCTCTGCCGCATTGCAGTCCCCAAATAACACACAAGACACTGTATTAATTCTGAAGCTGTTGGCCTTGCTTGTTTCTTATTGCCTATCTCTGACTTAAGTATTTAACCCATAATTGTTAATCTAAGCATTTTTGTTACTGGAGAAAAGGATCCGGACCTCTTACCCCTATGGAGGCTACATAGTGGCTGCCTCTGCTTCTCTCTCCCAGAATCCTCCTAGTTCCACCTATCTTGCTTCCCTATTGGCCAACAGTGCTTTATTGACACATACACAGGACTTCCCCATCAAATAACAAGTTTTGCTTTGTTCTGAAACACCAAACTGTTTCTTAAAACACAGAAGTGTACCTTCCTGGTTGGTGCCTAATTCTTCGTACTTGGCCTGTTTCCCTAGCAGCCCAACACAGGCTGGTAAGATGGGAATGCCACATAGGGATGAAAGGCAGAGATGGCCTCTAAGCTAGTGACAGGAATGTGTGGTGCAGGGAGGCCCTGCCGTTCGTGGCCAGGCGCCCTCCTGTAAATGAGCGGTATAAGGTTTACTGCTGCAGGGGGAGGACAGTCAAGCCTCCGGTGCTGGCATCCAGTGTCACAGCTACTTCTACCCGATGGTGAGAATGCTTTCCACAAGTCACCACCCCCACCCGAGTGAGCTGGGCGTGGCTGGTTCTCAGTCACTATGTGTGGCAAAGCCAAAGTGAGCAGGGATGTCTGGGGCAGGTTCCTGGAAGAAAGACTTTCTGGCGAAACAGCACAAACTTGGCTAAAGACTCAGCAGTCAACCGGAAGCTGTGCCTGATGTAGGGGCTTCAGTTACACCTACAGATGCAAACACAGGGACTGGAGGCAATGGGGGACTATGAGGGGTGCAGGCAGTGAGGGAAGATGAGGTAAAAGGAATGTCTGAGGGGGGGTGCGTGTGCTGGCAAGGGGTGGTGACAGGAGGGACAGGAAGAAATGTTTTCAATATCGACTTCCCAAAAGGAGAAGAAGACACAAAAAAAAAAACAATATTTCGATTTTCAAATGCAATCAAAGCAGATATTGCACCGGTAACGGGGAGAAACTGCCTTGAAGTCTGCTGTCAACAGCATGTATTTATATTCTCTTATTTACATTTTTGTCTACATGTCACCCCAGATGGCGAAATAATTTATAAAATATGAAACAATTACTTGGTCTCATACTAAAAAGAAATTTAAAATAGCACAGGTAGATTTGCAGAAATATGAATATAAATAAAGCAGGCACACTTTCCTTCAAGGAATGCACGTACATTTTCTTGGTTGAATATATACCTGAGTTTTCAAGATTGAAGTATGTGTGTATGTGTGTGTGTGTGCATGTGTGTAAGTTTGCATGTAACTGTGGTATATCCTCTAAAACTTGAGTATTGGGCTAGAAACATTAGCAGTGAACTACTACTTTAGTGTCTTTAGAACAGTCATCCTGTCAAGAAATGCAAACCACTTTATTCTATTTTTAACACTTTTTTTTTCAGAGGCCGAAGAACTTCATTCACAGTGGCCGGCATAAACAACATTATTATAATATTGGCACACTGAAAGGAACCCTAAAAATCAAGAGTGTCAATATAGAACTGAGTTCAGCTCCCTCTTGGAAGCTGACACAACCTTCTGTCTTTCTGACAGCACTAAAATCATCAATTGCAGGCATGTCTATTCATCTCAAAATGCAAGCGTCAAGCTGGAGTCACACTGGATCTTGAGCACAGGCATCCTCAGTTACTAAGAGATGAAGGCAAAACACAGTGGCTTCCTTCTTTACCTCACTCAGGGTTAGACGAGCCCCTGACTCTAACACAGAATGTCTCCTAAAATCGTGACTTGTGTGTCCCATGACTCAATGTTCTGTCTCAACACTGTGTTTGTTTGTTTGTTTGTTTTTTCTTTTCTTTTCTCTCTCATCCAACTTTTTGGATGCTTTGGGGGAATGATCTTAACTATCACCACCCCCAATTCCTCTAGCATCTCCAGTCCCTCCCATGTCTCCCTTCTCTCTCTCTCTCCTCTCTCTCTCATAACCATGGCTTCTTTTCTTTATTACTGTTTTACACACACATAAATAAATTCATAAATATATACATATAAATGCATAATAACATATTTTAGAGAATGTCTTCTTTCCCAACTAAACAGCAAGATTCTGGGACATGCCCTTAACTCCTTGGTGCCCCGTGTCCTTTGGCACACTCAGAGCCTTAAAATATGAGTGGCTTCCTGCCCGATTAGAGGTAAGATAAAGGCGGCCAATGGGTCTGTGTAGTGCTATACAGCAATGCTTTGCTGTCATCTTCGGAGTTGACAAATGTTAAAGTTCAATCATATGTCACAGTCATCTCGTTAGCCACAGGACCATGAAAGAGCACCCTGTGCGAACCACCCAGGCTCACTCAGCTGTCACTCATCTCCCTCCACAGGGAACCCTGGCTGTCCTTACCCCCACTAAGTGTTTCCAGCGCCTCTCTCTAAAACCTGAGGGACACAAGCTTCATGTCAGGCCCCATAGCCTAAGAATTCAGTTCCCGACACCGATTCCCTGACTGCTTCGACGTAAAAGTTTCCCATTTCCCCCTGGGTGTCTATCATTAACCCCAAACCGAGAGAGGAAATCCAGAAGAGATTGCTTTACTCTTCACTCAAAGCATTTCTGCAATGGCTGATGGATCTTAAAGAGTCCTCCAGAACAAAATAGTGACATTAATACCTCCTATGTCTAGGCTGAAGGAACACAACAGGGGAGACAGAGAATATGACACTTGGCTGCCTCCAGCCTAAACTCACTTTGCTTTGGAAACACCTTCACTGTATACCAATGCACAGATATCTAATGTCTTAGTCCTGGCTCTAGAACCCCGATCTGAGAGTATAGCACAAGTCTGACTTGTAAGTGCAATGTTCTTCACGTCAACTTGGCCACATGGAAGTTTCTATTTCAGTCATTATCCCTTCATCTGTTTCAATCATTATTCATCTATTTCAATCATTATCCCTTCATCTATTTCAATCATTATCCCCTCATCTTTGCAGTTCCTGGTTACCAGAACACTCTGGAGAGTAAGGCCATCAAATGTAGGTGTAGCATCACCAGCTGTGTCCTTAGGTAAACATCATCCCCTGGGTACAGACCAGGCTCCTTCTGCCAGCAGGTACTCTACCCCCTGCTGGGCCGCTCAACCTGTGCACCTACAATGATCCTACAGCCAGGGTGTAAGATGTGCTTGGACAGAGAGGGAAAGGCCTCGGAGAGACACTGGACTGTTTTTTGCTCTGAGCCATCTTCCCTAAGACCTACAGTCACTCCGAAGTAAGAAAGGTTTCCTCAGGAGTCAGTCAACATTATGAGGTCACACTCCCATGCTCAACACAGAAAAGCACCTTGAGACGCAAGAGGAAGTGCTAGACTTCAAACCCAGCTCCAGTGAACACTCTGAAACACTAACCTTCTGATGAGCTCTGATGGTCACTTCCTAGCCGTGCCCGTAAATCACTAATTGTTAGGCTATCAAGGCAAATGTTTTCATTTCAATTGAATTTCCTAATTAAATCCCCTCGAAAAACTTTAAGTCTGACCTTGGAAAACAGCTCAACGGGTGCGGCCACAGCACTCCAGTCTCTTAAGTACTGCTCCCAGGACCAGGTTTCCCCTGTAGTCACAGAAGGCTCTACGAGAGAAAACACAGCACTTTTCTTGGAACAATTCTTAGTGGAATAAAAATAGGGTAAAATGTTAACTGAAGACAAACTCAAACAGTGGGCCGCTTAAGTGGACGATCAGAAGAGACACAACCAGGAAGGCCATTGTCCCTCGTTTCCCGTACCCAGTTGGGAACCTTCCCTCATCAATGACTCTGCACTGAGCTTTCTGAGTCAGGAGTCAAGCTCACGGACACACCTCAAGCAGGTGCCTCATGTCACTTGCCGTGGGTATCACAAAGAAGCCGGCACAGACAGCAAAGTGATTTGGTCTACTTTCACGTGAACAGCCCGAAGCCTTTTAGTCCTCCCCTTTCCAAACTGCCTTCTGGTGGGTGTCAGTTGACATAAGCCTCAGAAGGCAATGTGACAATACTTGTCAACAGTCTTGATGTGCTTCTGCTATTGGACAAGGCGACTCTTCTTGTAGGAATTTGTCTTAATGGACTCACAGTGGACTACCCAGGGGACAAAACACAGGATTTCTGTTAGCAGTCCACAAAGCAATGAAACTCTGGAAATAAACTAAACGGCCCTCAAGGGGCTAATCAGATGTTTTATACAGACATGCCACTTATGGTATGCAAAGTAAACATGTAAAGAATATACTAAGGAAGGGGAAAGAATTTGAAAAACTAAGTCATATTTCGGTAAATATGTGGTAGGTTTAAAAGTGGGATGAAAACTGCAGAAATCACGCTTCACACGAAGTCGTCTTTAGGTACTAGGAACATAAATAATTTACTTCCCTGCTTTGATTTTTCTGCTTTCCAAATTTTGCAGGTGAATATTCGATAGTTGATGTAGAGACTTACCATTTTTTAGATAATGAAAATGAGAGAAAATAAAAGCCTTTAAAATTACCACCTGTACCTCAGCAAAGTCTCCTCCAGATTAATGAAGAAAGTAGTTCTGCACTGATGAACACTGTAAGTAAAAGTGAACACCAACAGAAACGCAAGGACATGAAAGGGAAGAAACATGGGGAGAAGGTTAAATTACAAGCACACACACACATATGTATATTTATATATACATATATATATACATATATATATATATAAAGCCATTCAGAGATTATCAAATCCTGTGTTCATTTAATGAACTGCTTTGACAATTAAACTTGTCATTAAGAAACTTAAAGAGACTAGGAGGTATATAGGATCCCTCATGTCCATGTTTATGCTATGTGCGATATAAAACAAGGTGAGCGTGAAAAGGCAAATATAGTATGACTTCATTCATGCATGGCATCTAAAGGGAATTAACCTCCACATCAGGGAGCATAGAGGTGATAACCAGAGCTGGGGAACAGGAGATGGAGAAAGGAGACAGGCTTGTCAGAGGGCACAGTTCCAGTTGCATAGAAGGAGTGTGTTTTGGGGAATTATCAAATAACACGGTGACGGCAGTTAATACATTATATACTTCAAAGCTACTAAAACACACACACACACACACACACACACAGAAATTTCCCATGTTCTCACCTTTAAAAATTGGTAACTGAGCCGGGCGTTGGTAGCGCATACCTTTAATCCCAGCACTTGGGAGGCAGAGGCAGACGGATCTCTGTGAGTTCGAGGCTAGCCCGGTCTACAGAGCGAGTTCCAGGACAGCCTCCAAAACAATACAGAGAAACCCTGTCTCAAAAAACAAAAAAAAAAAAAAACAAAAAAAAAACAAAAAATGGTAACTGTGTGATGTAGGAAGAGATCTACATACCCCTAGCACTGACCACATCCGTCTGGGTGTGGTCACAGGTATGTAGAATGTGGAGGGGGGTAAAAGAGCTAGAGGGAGGAGATGCTTTCTCTTTGGATTCTGGTTGCAGCCTGGAGAGCATTGTGTGCACCTTAGGTTCTCAGCTCTCTTGGCTTCTCACATAAGTGATTTTTCTCCCTCAATAAAAGATCATAAGATATCCCCATTTTGTGTGGCTTATTATTTCTGCATTAGTGTGAAGTGATACATACGTTAATTGTCTTCATTTAGTCTTTCTACAATGCTAACACATATCAAAACGCCCCATTTAGACCAGAGAGAACACTCAGTTGTAAGTGCTTCCCTTGCAAGCATGCAGACCTGAGTTTGATTACTAATACCCCTTAAAAGTCCCTGTAGGCCCACTGGCAGGAGGCAGAGACAGTCAGATCCCTGAGGCTTGCTGGGGAGCATATCTAGCCAGTATCCTCTAGGTTCAGTGGAAGTCCCTGTCTCAAAAAGGAAGGCAGAGAGCTGTTTAGAAGACAAGCAAGCGCCATCTCCAGTCTCCACACACAGATGCATCCAGTCATGCAAGCACACACAGATACATAAAAAATTTGCCTTTGTACCCTAATAAGGTGATTGACAATCAAAGATGAAACAGAAAAGTAAACACGTAAAGTGTGAGTGTGTGTGCACGCGTGAGTGTGTATGTGCGTGTGTGTGTGCGTGTGTGTGTATTACTCACACAATCACGTATTTATAAAACACCGACTATGTGCTATGCATTCATTACACAAGTGTGTGTGCACCAGCAAATGCACACATACATAGAAAAGAAATTGGAAAGAAGCAGCAGCAAAATATTAACAGCAGTCATATGTGGGCAGTGAGGTTAATATACTCATTCCCTATTACATTTTATACAGTCAAAATTCTCTACGAGGATTATTACTTTCACACACACACATACACATGCACACGCGCACACACACACTCCCACATGCGCACACGCACCTGCACATGGAGACACTGACCTGAAAAGGCCGAGCATTAAGCAAATGTCCCAGAAGAAGGTGCAGACAGCAGAAGGCCAGAACCACATCTGCCCTGGTGGTGGGTGTGGTGGTGGGGAAATGCTCCCCCTCTGAGCCCTGCATCTGAAATCTCCCAGGACCTTAAGAAACCCTCATAGAACAACCAACAACCGCCACAGCACACTGTTCAGTGATGATCCATCCACACAGATTTTAATATTTAAATTCTTCATGGGCCCCCAGCTTATTTGCGAAGAGAGGGGCAACATCTAAAGGGTGACCCTATGCCTCGCCCAGACGATGAAAACTACATATTATGCATTATTTCCCTTCAGCATACGTGGACACCAGAGGGAAATCACTCAAATGTAGGCAACTTTGTGAAAAAGCCGGGAAGGAAGCTAACACCCTCTACCAGTCACAGTGTTAGCCTGTCGCTGGTAAGGAGCACATTGCTGGAGTGTGAAGAAGCAACTCAGTCACCTAAAGAAACTGATGGAGTTGTGACCCGTGCGTTTCCTGGTTCTTCTGAAAGGCCAAGCCATCCCAACAGAGCCCATCCAGGAGCTTAGCGGCTGCTTCCGAATCTCCCAACAGGAAAAGTCTTCATTTGCTTCACAGAGAAAGCGATGTGGCAGACCCTGGTCATGTTCCAGTAACATTATCCAAGTTCCCTGTTTCCACACAAGCATTTTACTGCCTTACAATTATGGGCTTCACACACACAAAAAAAAACAAATCACAGCAGCACCAACACTAAAGCTGTTAAGAGAAACCTTTTCCTTGAGAGAATGCCTTCCCGCCAGCCTGGTTCCAGAGCTGCATCAGTCCCAAATAAACACACAGGAGGCTATATGAATTATGAAGCTGTTGGCCTTGTTTGTTTCTTACTGGCTAGCTCTGCTTTAAGTAATTACCCCATAATTGTTAATCTAAGTATGTTTCTTACCGGAGAGGTTTCTGGGCTTCCTACCCCAATGGCGTTACATCTCGAACTCTCCTGTGTTTCCCCTTCCCAGAATCCTCCTGGACTCCTAGCCCCACCTATCTAGATTCCTATTGGCCAGCAGTAATTTATTAACATATACACAGGACTTCCCCAACATAAAGCAAATATGAGTATCTCATTCTCTGCAACAGCTGGGCTCTAAAGAAGACACTGTGTAATTCCTCCATTTAATCGTATTTCTGATTGTCACACATTATCATTTCACCCAAGGTAAGCCGTATCTAAGGCTTCCTACTATGATTACATGAGTATGCAGAGAACCTTTTAACAGTCATCATAAGAAGAATACATAAAAATCAGACAACAGACACTTCCAATGAGTTAAATATTTCAATACAGCAAGAGGATAATGGTGTCTGCAAGAGACATGGAAGGCACGGCTGATTGGCCAGCACCAGAGCCTGCGGACAGGCCCTCTCCCGCCACCTGCTCCCCCTGTCTCCCATCACCATGTTTCTCTAGTTCCTGCAAGACTTACATTGGCGGAAACTAAGTAGCTTGTTTACTTTGTAATTGTTTGAGGCAGGCAGGGTCTCACTACACAGTCCAGATGAGCCTGAACTTCGGATGCCTCTCTCTCTGCCTCCTCTCTGCCTCCTCTCTGCCCCCGCCTCTGCCACTGGCTGAATTGTCTGCTTTGAGTTAGGACACAAGCCACTAAGAGGGCAGTGTGTCCTTGGCTTTGCTCTTCCTCGACTTCAAGCTGTTATCCTGCCTGGCCATAAATACTTGTCTAATGACTTAAAGGCAAAGGCAGACCTAATACCTCTTTGAACTTAAAAGTGCATTGAAGAGTCTGGCCCAGTGGCACATGCCTGTAATCCTAGTGCTTAGAAAATGGGGAGAAGAGAATTAGAGGGGTCCAAGGCCAATCCCACTGCAGAGCAAGTTCCAGGTCAGCCTGGGATACATGAAACTGTCTCATTAAAAAAAAATCAAGCAAGCAGAAGAATAATTCATGGATATCTGTTTGGCCAACTCATTTCTCTTAACCATCTTGAAGAGAAAGAACCAATTATTACACACACTGCTTCAGTATGTTTTATTTTTTATGCAATTTTCTGAACCATTCTGCAAACACAGCATTTGTTTTGTAGAACATTAGATAGACATGTAGATTTGCAAATCAGACATACAGAATTTGCAAATCCTAAATTTCACTTTTCATTCTATTCACTGGCTATAGTGAATTGTTATGGTATGGTTGTTAGCCTTC